GGGGGGGAGATTTGACCCGCGTCTAGTAATGAATGGGAACTAAGGTAACCAGTGTCAGGATCAGCATCTCAGGCCGAAAGGCAGATGCGTTTGGGAGGCTGCATCCCGGGTGGACAGCGGGAGGCACTGCCTGCGCTCACTTATTACGTCAACAGACCTGCGTGGAGACCGCGTCGTGCGTGGCGGAGCCGCTCACAGTGGCAGCGCTGTCCTGTCAGAGACAGAGCTGGACCAGCGCCAGCTGTCAATCAGTATCTGATTCAGAGTCAGAGACGCCTGGACACGCGGGGCGTCTCTGCTGCCCGGTGTGTCTCCGTCTCCACTGCCCGGCGCATCTCCACTGCCCAGCGCGGCTGCTCGCTCCTCTTGGGTCAGGGAAGCTGTTGTTCTGGGCTGAGCTATATTTTCCCTGTTAACAACATAATACTCACACTCTCTCACACACAGGCGCCCCTCACACACACACACATCCCTTCACAAATGTTCACACACACACTCACGTACTCACACTCATCTGCTCACACACACTCACATCCCTTTATAATATACTCATATATACTCACACATACATCTCTTCACACATGCTCTCACACTCACGTACTCACACACTCATACTCATCCGCTCACACCACGCATCCCTTCACACACATTCACACGCTCACATGTTCACACACACTCACATCCCTTCACACATGCTCATACACACAAACATATACACTCATACTCACACACACTCACATTTTTTCACACATGCTCACACACACACACACTCACCCATTCACATACACAGATTTTATACACTCACATACACTCATATCCACATACTCACACTCACATCCCTTCACACATGCTCATACACTCACATACACACTCATACTCACCCACTCATATACCCATCCCTTCACACACACACACACTCACACCCCTTCACACATGCTCATACACTTACACACACTCACATCCCTTCACACATGCTCATACACACAAACACATACACTCACACACACATTCTTTCACACATGCTCACAGACACTCCCACACAGTCAAACACTCACATCCCTTCACATATGCTCACACACACTCACACACTCACCCATTCACACACTCACACAGATATATACACCCACACACTCATATCCACACACTCACATACACTCACGTCCCCTCACACATGTTCACACACACTCA